GATTTGTCACCAACATATATTTTACAACGTTAATTTAAGTCTACAGATCTAGACGAGATCTTTCATTTGGCACCAAAATCAGCTCTCTAGGACATCGCAGTCGCGAGTTATACCGCCCTGAAATTTTCGCCCACGCCGAAAATTGCCGCCAGTCGCCGCGGGTCGCCACCCGCGCCTCGCGAATGCGCGGTGCCTACTCAAGGTCATGCTCCCGATGAACGAGACCACATTTATTTCAATCGTGTTATTAGTCATGAGGTTATAGTGTCGGAATGGATGACCCTGCAAACGTTACATCGCAGTTTCCGTCCTGGTACCCCATATGTCGGTCTGACTTTACAGACATATTTACGTCAAAATGTGTAAGATCAGTATCAACAAATCGACAACAATGGTTACCTAGGAAACGTCATCTGTTTACTCGGCATTGTTTTTACCTAGGAATCTTGACCAAGTGGTTGGTCAAATGTTTTAACCCTTCAGGGGGGTAAGTTTAGTTTCTCTCTCAAGATTTTAAAATCAAGTCTTTTAACCCCCTTTCTTTTATTGAATTTATTGCCTAAATATAATTTAAATACAGAGACGTATTTACGTCAGATTCTCCGTAGGCGTGGTTCCACTACCACTTTTTATCGGATTTAAAATCTGAAATCCAGACACAGTTTCTTTATCGAGTTCATAACAATCCGTCATTGGACTACAATCAAACCAGTTCAATTAATTTTATATTCTCACAACACTAATAATAACATTATACTGTAAAAGTAAATTTTTTGACGTAAATACGTCTATAAGGAAGGGTCATTCGGCAAAAAAGTGTAACGAAAAAGGGAAACGAAAAAGTGTAACAAAAAAGCTCCGATAACAATGGTTAGCTAGGGAACGTCGTCTCTTTACTCAACATTATTGTTACCTAAGAAACGTCATCTGTTTACTTGGCATTGTTGTGTTACCTAGGAAACGTTAGGCTTAATGTTGATGTCAAATCCTGTATGTAGTACTACTAGATCAAAATCTTGTATAGATATGGTGTTTGCACGAAATGTTGATACTCTAAAGTGCACAAATTTTATAACATATTTCAGCTACCACAGATCCATCTTAAGCGTAACTAATTCAGGTTAAATAAGCAATGTCTTAATCAAACGTGACTCAATTGTAAAGCATGTATAAAGGAAATATTTAGAATAAAGCCAATATGTAAACTTTCTTTCCGTATAGACGTATTTACGTCAAATTCTCCGGAACCGTGGTTCCACTACCACTTTTTGATCGACGAAGACGGAATTTCTTACGAAAGCGAGTGTTGTGCGTCAGCATTATTATATTTTATTCTCGTCATTATTAATTGTTTTTGCTGTTCAAAATCCTTCTTCACTCATTGATAGGAAGGAAATGCGATTCTTTCAATTAGTGTACCTAATTCCCGGGTAATTGTACCTATTACTAGCAGAATATATACTGGAGTGTATGCGGGCGAACAATGAAAGCGCAGGATGGAAAAGTTGATAAACTTTGTGCTTGAGCTCATTATTCACGCTGGGCTGCTAATTCTATTGCACTTCTTCAACATCCACACCTTTTTTTAATCTTCTTTCTTCAGAGTTGCCAGATAATAAAAAAGACTTGACGAAGAAGAATTATATAAATATGTAACCGTCCCTTTTCTTCCACCACACGTCACACTGCTTGTTTAGTATAGTCGCAGAGGAAGATTATAATAAAATTATAGGGGAATACCAATCAGGCTTCCGCCCTGGTGAAAGGTATAGCTGAAAAATTTTGGGAATTTGACCTCAATCCCTGTCATATATTTATTGATTTTCGAACGGCATATGATAGCATAAGTAGAGAAGGACTCTATAAAATCATAGCTGAACAAGGGATACATCCAAAAATGTTACGACTGGTAAAAATGACTATGTCTGTCTCCAATCAAGGGATACTTCCAAAGATGGTACGATTGGTAAAAATGACTATGTCTGTCTCCAAGGCCCGGGTTAAGATCTGTGGCGGTATGACTGATCTATTTGAAGTTGGATCGGGACTTAAACAAGGGGATGGTCTAGCACCAATGCTCTTTAATCTTGCTCTGCACTGGGTTGTTAAACAAACCAAGGTGGATCTCAATAGCTCGATATAATGGGTCGAACGCTACCAGCATTAGAAGGAATATATAAGGATCTGGAATTAGGAGCTGCTAAAGTAGGGTTACATGTTAATGAAAGGAAGACTAAATGGATGATACAAAGTAGAGATAGAAAAAGAATAACGATCCAGCATAACATGACATTGGAGATATTCCAAGAAGTACAAGAATTTAAATATCTTGTAACAGTCGTGACAAGTAATAATGATGAGTTGACTGAAGTACAAAGTAGAATAACAGCAGCAAATAAAATATATTTTGCGTTAAAAGGGATTATGAAATCTAATTGTGTACATAAAAGCAGTAAAATAAGGATTTGCGTTAAAAGGGATCATGAAATCTAATTGTGTACATAAAAGCAGTAAAATAAGGATATATAAGACCATCATCAGGAGCATCCTCTGTAATGCAATTGAGCTCTGGACACTGACAAAGAAAACAGAAATGATGCTGGGCGCACCTGAAAGGAAGATTTTGAGAAGAATCTTTGGACCAGTACAGAAAAACTTAAAGTGGAGGATACGCTACAATCATGAGCTATATAGACTATATAAAAGTAAAATTGATATAGTAACTCACATTAAAAGAAGGTTGGAGTGGGCTGGACATGTCTACAGGATGGAAGAGTATAGGATTTCCAAAAAAATATTGAAAGGAACAATATATTGGAGAAGGTCAATGGGAAGACCTAAAGGTAGATGGCTGGATGCAGTGACGACTGACTCCAGAAATCTCCTTGGAACAGCAGCTTGGAGAAAGATAGCGTTTGATAGAGAGGATTGGCTGTTAGAGAACCTATGGAACAAGGTGATTCTTGCAGGAGTTCAGTTCAGAGATCGTCTTCTATCCCTGTAGTGAATTTTGAAACCCGACGAGAGAGTGGGAGAATGATGGATGAATGCGATAGTAGGTTAAGCAACCAGTGTAGCGGTAGTGACCATGTACCTATAGTGTCAGTCAATATTGGCAACACTGACGGTGAGGCGCACAGACCGCGTGAACTAGCCGAGCTTACTCATCCTCAGTGCCCCAGCCACGTCGTTACCATGCCAATATCCTGAACAACCCGCGAGGTGAAATTGGTGAACCTAATAAAAAAACCCAAACATGGAGAAGTCGATTGAAGGTGACCATGTTGGTGGTTGTCATAATATATCATGCGTATTCTTAGATGTTGTATACCTATAGTTAGTTTAAGTACATCTTGACGCCAACCTTCTAGCTGCTGCATGTACAGGTTTATCTCTCCAATCAATTCCAGTTCTCTGTAGGATCCTCATTAATCTATATTAGTGTTTAGCTATTTTGTGTTAAATGTACTCTGTGTCATTTATGTCAGGTCTGAGTTGCATGAATGTGGCAGCCTAGTCTGTCAAGCTGACCGCCGCCCGGAACGTGGCGAAAGGTGGCAGTGAACAGCTGATCGTATGGAGTGTTATCTGTGTTACGGCAGGAGGAGGATGGGAGTTGTATGATGTTATATGATAAAATGATGTAATAGACTGTCACGGGCAGTTGAGATGAGGCTGGCTGTTTCTATGTCGAAAGCGCAACTCATCTCAAGGGGGAGTGTTGTGCCAGTCCAGGTCCGTGGTTCAATTCCCGAACGGACTGAAACTTGAGATGAGGGGTAAACCAGACTTTGGCATATTAATCTGGTTTATATGAACGAAGGAGGTGTGATTAGATGATACTTGGTACACCTCACTTCATCAAAATTTGAGTGATTTTATTAAGTTTTGGCTTTGTCCAATGTATCACATTGGGAAAGAGAGTGGCGCCATCCTGGCGTGTGAAAGTCTCTTCCCCCAACATTCGGTTTAGTGACCGTTGGTTTGGGGCGCCCTAGTAGGTGTGAAGTGACGATTGCCAGATGACCGCTGCTCCACTACGACTCGGACCAATGGAATTTGAATGTGGCTGTTCGGCACGTTTCCGACGTCATAAGTGACTTTTTGGGGGACGAATCGGATTGTCATATTCAATTCAAAATTCAAAAACTGTTACGATCAGGGAATATAAAAAGCGAGGTTGCGTTGGGGCTCGCTCTCTAAAAGTTCGGTTCTTAAAGGCAAGCAGACAGTTTCCCCTCGATTCATTAAACTTCAAGAT